CAGAGAGCTGCTGCGGATAATATATTGCGGGATTTGAAAGCTAATCCTGATACTTGGCTTCAAGTGGTTCACATTCTACAGAGCACCAGGAGTACGCATACCAAATATTTTGCACTTCAGGTATGTTTCAGTGTTACTTTATCTGCTGCTGTTGTCTTCTCTTTATTTAGCTGCTGATTTCTCTTCCCATTGGTTATATATCATATCCTACATTATATGTTTTGAGGTGCTTGTTAGAGAAAGGTTCTTATGGATTCCACTTTCAGGTGCTAGAAGGTGTTATAAAATATAGGTGGAATGCATTGCCTGTTGAACAACGTGATGGGATGAAAAACTACATATCTGAAGTGATTGTGCAGGTAAATATTTGACAGGCATTAGGTTAATTTATTGTTAGAGTGAAGATGCTCGGTTAACTGAATTGTTTTGATAATGAATTTACCATGTAGCTCTCAAGGGATGAAGCGTCTTTCAGATCGGAAAGGCTTTATGTCAACAAGTTAAACATCAGCTTGGTTCAGGTATCTTCGGGATTTCCTGTTAATGATAGAGATATTTGCTTATTTTCATTGAGATCTTCTTGTGTGTGTTTTCTCTTGTAAGGCTTTTCTGAAGCTAACTTTGCCTGAAGATTTTGTTTCTGCCAATTGAAAAAAAGTTTGTTTAGTCTATGGGAATAACATATATGGTGATGCATGTACAGATTGTGAAACAAGAGTGGCCTGCAAAGTGGAGAAGCTTTATTCCGGATCTAGTGAATGCTGCTAAAACTAGCGAAACTATATGTGAGAACTGCATGGCTATATTGAAAGTAAGTACGGGTCTAATTGCCTTTGCATTAAGTTTATGATGTACTTCAATAACAATTCTTCTTTTCTTTAGCTCCTAAGTGAAGAGGTTTTTGATTTCTCAAAAGGAGAGATGACTCAGCAAAAGATAAAACAACTGAAAGAGTCTCTAAACAGGCAAGTTAGTCTTTTCAGGAAGTTTACGTTTTAGAATAAAGAATAGCCAAGAACGAACTATGTTCAAATATCTTGCCTTAACTCATTTATTCTGCTTTCTGATGCGCAGCGAGTTTCAACTCATTCACGAATTATGCCTATATGTTCTCTCAGCTTCCCAAAGACAAGAGCTGATACGTGCAACACTCTCTGCATTGCATGCCTATCTTTCTTGGATTCCGTTAGGCTATATTTTTGAGTCCCCCTTGGTAATATTTAAGATCAGTGGAATAAGAGAGGTTAACAAGTCTCATAATTACAATATCCTAATTACTCTTCTGGTTATTATCAGCTGGAGACCCTCCTTAAATTCTTCCCTGTGCCAGCATATAGGAATCTCGCTCTTCAATGTCTGTCAGAGGTATGCTGGTTTATAGTTCAGATTTTCCTGCTGTCACTACTATACTGTCATTATCTAATGACGTGTTTTTCTGGCAGGTTGCAGCTCTTAATTTTGGGGACGTATACAACTTGCAATATGTCAAAATGTACAGCATTTTCATGAAACAGTTGCAGGTAGTGCTGGTTACCTTTGTTTTATAAGTTAATATAATCTATCTGCTCGTTTATAGGTTCTTTACTCTATCAGCTAGACTTATGTTACTTTGGCTTCTTGATTGATGCACATACTTGTTTTCATTTCTGCAGGCAATTCTTCCTTTAAATTTAAATATCCCTGAGGCATATTCAACTGGAAGTAGTGAAGAACAGGCAAGTTTACTTTTTTTCTGTGCAATATCGTTCTGGGCATCCCATTTTTTTCTGTAACCTTTGGAGATAATGACTGTATATCTTGTTTACCTCTAGGCTTTTATCCAGAACTTGGCACTGTTTTTCACATCATTTTTCAAGGTA